CTGGGGCACACACAGTTACTTACACTACTTAATAATTTTTTTCTATCAGTTCTGTTCAACACTTTTAAGCCTAGGTTAAACATAAAACCAATTCCATTGCAACTCTACAGATCACCAGATTTGAGGTTAAAAAATACTACGATTGCTAGTTAGTAGTCAAATAGACCTTGAAAAGTACTCATTCTTCTGAAGTACAGTTTCCCACCTTCCACATGAGAGTAATACTAATGATCCACAATTAGCCATGTTGTTACAAGGGCCTGAGAAGACCTTTACACTGGCCCTTGCTTTAGGAGAAAATCACTTTTCTGCCAGTAGCCCTTTATCTTCTTTCATGTAATAATGTATTTATCATACAACCAAGCAATACTGTAGATGCCAAGGATACAACAGTAAAAAAGGGAATGCTCCTGATGTCAAAGAACTCTGGGCTCACTCAACAAATTCACGATTTGGATAAATCCAGGAAGTGATAAATACTCAAGTCAGTAAGTTGGGGTCTTGAAGGAGCCTATGGAAAAGAATGGGGGTGGTGCTTCACATGGGATTGTTAGCATGGTGCTTATGGTTTAGATCTAAAATACCCCCCATCCCAAATATTCAGAGATATGACTTTTGTAAGCAGGTTAGGTCAGGAGGTATTACACTCATCGGTGGATTAACCCATTGATTAGCTCTTAGCTGAATGTGCTATGAGGAGGAGTGAACTCGGCTAAAACCAGTAGGTGACATAACAGGGTGTGTGTTTATTTCCAGCTCTTTCCTTCATGGTTTTTTTGCTACTTAGCCATCATGAGTTGTACAATTACCCTCCAGCAGTCCTTTATGCAATGCTGTTTCTGCTTGAAATTCAGCTAACCATGAACTGAGTCCTTGGAACCGTAAGCTAAAATAAACGTCTCCTCCTTTAAATTGCAGGCCTCATGTATTTTGACCCAATGATGGGAAATTGACTAATACAGTACTTTAGTCTCAAAGTACAGCACTGCATGAACACACTAGATTAAAACTCACAGCTTTTTTATTCTGTCCCTGAAGATTAAGAGGTCCTTAAAGAATGGTACAGACACTTCTTATTTATTGGTGTATCTATAAATATCAGATAGGGACCAGTCTATTGGAGGACCTCAAAAAAATAATGCTTTGTTAATAGAAAGAAAGATGCAAATTTTTCCTAACTTACTGTTCTCTCATTTAACTCTTGCATGATTATCAGGAAAGTAAAGCCAGGTGGGTATGTCCCATGCCCAAACATCAATGCTGAAGGAGGTAAGTCAGAATTTGACTCCAGGTGGGTATTCTTATGACAAAATGTTTACCACTTGTAAAAAGAGGGCTTTAATGACTAAAGTGATGGATTGCCTCAAATACTATACTTTTTTTTTTTTAGTTTTTGAAAATTTACGGGGAAGCATAATGCACATTTTTGGTAGAAAATGACAATGTATATAGCATATAAATAATAAAATAAATATTACTCATAATTATATTTTATAATTTTATAATGACAACCTCCATTAAGTTTTTTTCACAGCTAAGAAAAGTAGGATTTTTCTAAATACATATCAGCTCTAACAATTGAAATAGTTCAACAAAGTTTGAAGAATGGTCTTTTAAAAATGTAAAATAAACTGATTCTCAGTGAACACCTATGTTCCTGTGACCATGTCTGCACTTAAAATAATCTAATTACCTTTTCAGACTCACAGGATCTGATTCCTACTCATTTTTATTTCAAACGGCAGCTCCCTGTACTTCCCTCTTGTTAAATTCTTGGTTTTCTCTCCGTTACTGGAGTTTCTATTACTTCACGACTTCCGCACTTCTTGTTTCTGCCTTCAAAGCTCTTTGCAAGCATCTTCCTGCTCTTCGTATCTCAAGTCAAAAGTAACTCTTCTCCATGAACATCCTCCCTGAGCCCTGCAACCTAAGAGAACTCTCTCCTCTGGCACACCAACCACACTCTGTCGGGGGCCCTTTCTGTATTTCCCTTCTAGCATTTATTCCTATGTAAAGTTATGTTGTCTATCTATATCTTTAGCACAACCTTCCTTGAACTGACATGTAAACTGCACAAGAGCAAAGATGGCTTGTTCAATTGCTCGCACTCTCCTCTTACTCTGTAGGATTCTGTCGGGGGTTAAATGGAGCTCAATACATATGTGAGCAAATATAAAACTATGCTCCTTTCACTCAGAAGTAGTTGCTGCAAGCATCTGGGCATCCCTTCAGGTGGTTTTCCCTGTGGATGTAGTATATGTAGGTGTCTTTCTATGTGTGAATATAAAGTGTACAAGTTCATAAATACGTTCACAAATTGGAACTAAACTCATGTGTTATTTTTTTTAAATGTTTCTGGAGTTAACAATTTGTGGTAAGCATATTACCATGCAAAAACCTATCATTACACAATAATTTTTAGGGATTAAATGGAATTTTATTATATGACCCCATCACAATTCGTTTAATCAATCTAATGATAAATGTGGGCTATTTCCATGTTACTCTTACTATTACATACACCTGCTACAGTTTGGATCCGAGTGTCTCCCAAAAACTACGTTTTGAAGGAGTGAGTCTTATCCTGTGGTGCTCCCAGGAGAAGGCGGAACCTGTAGGGTGTGGTCTGGTTGGAGGAAGTGAGGTCACTGGACCATAACCTTGAAGGAGTTATTGAGACTCTGGCTCCTTTCTGTCTCTCTTTGCTTTCTGACTGTCATGTAACATATCCCCTGATGTGCTGTTCGGTGCTGTCACAAGTCCAAAGTAACAGAGCCAAGTGGCTAAGGACGGAAACCTCTGAAACTATGAGCTAAAATAAATCTCGATGTCTTTCAATGGTTAGTCTTGGCTGTTTTATCACAGTATTGGAAAGCTGACAAACACAATACTTATAATACTAAGAAATGTATTCCTCTTTCTACTAGCTACTCTCCAGGAGTATTACTGCTGTATCTTACAGCATACACGTTTGATAAGTATTTGATAAATATTATCATATTACACTATCACTAGTAGAAAATGAGGTGCCTATTTCTCCTCACACTAGCCAACAGTGGAAATTTTAATCCTTTTAATTTATTTGAAAATCTATTAGGTAAAATAATGTTAATTCATATATTCTTTTTTAACTGTAGTTCAACAATTAATAAGTAACAAGCATCTCCTATTGTTATTGGCCAATATATTATGTTATTTCCTGTTTATGACTTTTGTCTTAGATGATCATTCTTTCCTTTTTGATCTTATAGCAGCAGTTTATATCATAAAACTTGATCTGTTTGTCAGAAGTGTTTTTTTAAAGATAATTTTTCTTGGTTTGTCATCTATCTTTTAATTTCATTTACAGTGATTTAAGGTGGTGTACTTGTGTAGTAAAATTCTTCAAAATTTTATTATGTCTTTGGGTTTTGCTACTATGTTTATGAGATTATAAGGAATTGTTAAACTAGTAGGGAAATATAAAAGTATGTTATTTTCAAGAGTAATGCAAACAAACCCAGAAACTAAAAAAATCAGCAGAATCAACTGCTGAAATTATGAACATAATTTTCAGGGACCCTATTTTATTGTCCATAATTTACTATCATAATATATTGTTGATAATCTGTTTAGAGTCCAATATACTTTATTATAAGTTATAATTTAATAAACATGTTAAAGGACTGTCTCTAAGTAATCATTATGTACTGAAATTTGTACTGTCACATTTTTGTTCAAAGTAAGTGGGTCATTGGTTTAGGCCCAGAAAATTTATTGTTATAAGCCTTCTAAAAATGGCCTATTTTTAAAAATTTCAAAGATTTAGAGATTTGTACGATTTCTTTCTTTTTATTTTTTTAACCACACATGGCACTTTCTTTGCCCTTTATAGCCTGAAAGTTTTCTCAGCAATATCCAAGACTCTCCAAGTTACTGAGATTAAAACAAGAATTACCATAAATAGAATTAAAACAGAATTTAGTCCACTTGTCTGTAATAGGGAGACCTTCTATAGGAATAAATTTGTCTTCTATAAACTCACCCTGAAATGATTAAGGATTTTTCTCTCCTTACTCCAAATACCTGATTTCCTTGAGTGCCTAAAATGGTAATGCATAAAATTTGATAACTCTTTCCTGAATCTCTTGTTTTAATCTCTGTAACTCTGATAATAATTCAGTTGTCTGGGAATGGCATGAGAACAAAATCAAAGTGTTCTAGAACTTTTTAATTTTCTATTTATTTATGTATTTTGGCAGTAGTAGTTCTGCTAGGGAGGGTGTTATTTTGCTTGTTTGCTTTTTTTTATCATCACAAGTCAGCTTTTCTAGAAACTGAATTGGTTATAAAGAGCTAGGAGATCTAGCAACAACTTCAGGTTCAAAAGAAAGAAGAGAAATGAACTAGGAGAAAAAAACAAAACATTTTCTAAAACTGCAGTTTTTGTTTTCTTGGTGGCTTGATTTTCAGGTAAAGAAATATAAACCTTGTTCTCTGAAATGGAGACTTCTGTTGTGATTAACAATAGAAAGAAACTTTTCCCAGCTATATGGGGATATTGACCATAGAAGTCAAGTTTCCCTGAAAGTCCTGCTGAGCACTGAAGACTTCTGGGTGTGCCCATCACTTTGCAAGGTAGGCTAATTCATCAGAAGGTTCTGTGATGAAAAGACTCAAACTACTGCACCAGCTTCTATGTAGCACCTCACAAACTGGTCTGCTAATAAAGTATTTTAAAACAAGGCCACTAAAAACTCCTGGCCTGATCCATCTTTTAGAATTCTATTGTTCCTGTGCATTCTAATAAAATACTGCATGATTATTACATCATGCCTTAAGCCACCTAGCATAAAACTTCCCAGATGCTGCCAGATGTCTGTGGGAAACAGGGGAAGAAGACCCTCTTCTGTAAATTTCAGTCTCCCTATGAAGTCTAGTAAGATTCATGCTAAAGTGATTTCTAGGTTCCAGTTTACACAGCTGCACTTTGGTGCACAAAGCACATTGGCTATACTCACTCATAGGGGGTGCCCTTCTGGCCACAGAAATGGCCCTGGCTGTCCGTAGCAAAGGTCAGTCTCCTAGGATCACCGTATGCCCAGGCTGGAGGAACAAGAAAGGACAGAAACTCGATCAGCAACATTTGGCCAAAGGCAGTCTGATTTATGCTATTAGAATCCACCTCTGCAACACACCTGCCTCTCCCTCAGCCATGAAGATTTTTTTCAAAGAGTAATTTCTTAATGAAAAGTAAAATAAAATATGGATGAATCAGTTGGAAAGCACATTTCTCTTGTTCTCTCAGGATCAGTCTGGGTTCTAGCCAAAACATGAGGTAATGCACTTAGAAAATGACATTGATTAAATTGTGAATTAGAGGGCACACTGCAAAAGCATGCTTGGCAAAAATATACTTTTTGTAGAGTTCAAAAGTGAATGACTTCATAGCAGAGCTAGTAAACTGACAGCAAATAACATGATGTAATACTTTTGGGTTATACATAAATGAAAACCATTTAAAAATTTTTTAAACAGGAACTACAATTCCAAATTCAAATTGACTAGCTCTATATAATTTCATGTGACATTATAAAGGCAAACAGTTGCAAATGCAGAGGTAATAAATGCATAATAAAAAGTTACCATATGTTTTGCCTAATAATCTCAAAGCTCAATACAAATATAAAATACTTTTGTATTTCTTAAAAACTGAAGACTTGATTTGATTTGCTGTGAAGGTGCTGGGCTTTAGCTTTAAACATATCACTCTTTTCTCCCCAAGAATTATAAACTTGATTTGACAACTACACTATAAAAATTCAGAAAGTAATAGCTATGGACTAGATTGGGTCATATTCCCTGATTCTAGGTAAGATTTTCTAACGTTTCCAGTTTGAATAACACAATTCCTAAAAATCTGGGAAATATCTTGGTCTTTTAACACTCCCTGTGCACATAGAAACATATCTCTTTGTCCTTTGCTTCTTTCAACATTTGCCCAGCTATCTCCTCACCCACATTTACTGGATTTGACAGCTCATATTATAATTCTATCAGTCTTATGTATGTGGTCCATGTGACTTGGGAAGATAAAAAATTCTGAAGGAGAATTTTAATATGAAAAGAGGAATTTTTCTGAATATTTTTTCTCATCAATCCAACCCATTCTGTTCACGTGCAGTATCTAAGCACCCAGAAAAGCTTCCTTTGTCTAATTCTTTAACCAATGTCACAAAGGCCAAATCAGTTTCATTTCTTAATGCATTCTTATGAAATCTGAATCATTTGGGCAGCTCTCTGCTGCCGTTATCTTTCTGTCTTTATTTCCCAGAATAAAGAAAATGGACTGTAAATAAAGCATTTACATGACATGTTTACTGTATAACGTCTCTAGACACTGCTTTAACTGTTCTTTCTATACCTTACTTTGTGACATTTTGGTTACACCTAAAAAAGAGAATTTTATCATTTTCTGAAAAATATTCTCTTTTATTTTTATTCTAAATTGTTTTTTCCTATATAATAATTAATTCAGAAATAAGCAATCACAGAAGAAGGATTTTTATTATAGGTTATCATTACTGGTACTTATTGTCTATCTCGCTACACAAATCAGTAATTTTGAGTCTTGGTTTTCTATTTTGTTTCTAAAATATGAGTATAATTATAGAAAACCTGGAAGAACATTGAAAATAGGAAAGAAGATAATGAAAATAGGGTACCTACTGTGACTCAGTACTTGCCTTTTTCAGGGTTCCCTGAAGGCAAACTCTGAAACCAGGTCTTTGACGTGGGTAGTGGGTAGTTTATTTGGGTGAGGCACTGTGGTGGGCAAGGAAACCCCGTGGGACTGCAGAGTATCCCCAATCAGGTCGCAGTACAACTTCTCCTTGCAATTGCAAACAAACTCAGGTAGGCTGAGGGGAGCTGGGGCAGCAACTGCCATAGTGTTTGTTCCCTGTTTCATTAGCAATCAATCAATTAATTTACTAAATAGTCATTAGGTGCTCTGCACTAGAAATCAACATCTGGTATGTCATCGTTCTCAAGAAATACATGAAAAGAGGAGAATAAAAGTTTGTGGAAGTCTTAGCAAAAAGGTGGGACTTAAGCAAGCCTGGAGATTTGCTGGGATTTGACCACATGGCAGAGACTAGGGAAAGAATTACGGGTTGAAGAAATTAAGAGCTTCCTTGCATTGATCATTTGCAAAGTGTCATGGGTGTGCGATGGTTATCACATTTACCTCGCGTTACTAGTCTCACAACCACTCTACGAGGTATTATTTTTGGTTAACTTCCCTGCATAGCTATGACTAAGGATTTAATTTATTTTTCAGCATTGCACAGCTTCTGAGTGACATGTGGGCTTTAGTTTAGGCACGCTGCTCTGGAAGGCCTGCACTTTTAACTACTAGTCCGAAGGGGCGGCAATGGAGCTTCACTTCTGTGGTTTGGAAACAGAAGAGGCTTGCGCTTGGGAGAGGAAGATGCCTCAGCAGGGATCTGAAGATCCACAACAAGGGCAGAGATGGAGATGGAAGAGTCGCCAGAGGCGCTGCCCCTGGCCTTCTAGTTGTGAGTTGAGGCAGGCTGTCCTTAACGTGCAGCCTCCAGCGTAGGATCTGTGCTGCAGATGGTGCGCGTTTGAGTTAGAACATCAAGATCAGAGCTGAGAGCTGCAAAAAAGAGGAGCAAAAAGGAGAGGTGCGGCAGCGTTTTGCCCTTGTTCATAAAGAGCTGACTCCTATTTTATTCTCCCTTCAGGAATTTCTTGCTTCTTGGAACCTCTAGAACAATTCGGTCCATTAAGGCAGCTATTAGCAATGTCTACTGAGCCCTGAAAATGGTTTATCTGAATCCAGACATGCTGTAAATGCAAAACGCATGTCCCATTTTAAAGGCAGTATGAGCAACAATAAAAGGATATCTCAATACTTTTTATAATGATTTCACTTGAAATAAATAAAATATATTATTAAATGGTCAGTAAAATTAACTCTACCTGTTTCTCTTTATACTCTTAAATATGACCACTAAAAATTTTAACATTACCCATGTGATTTATGTTGTATTTCTCCTGGATAGATCTTTTCTAGGACATTCCCCACAAAAATGTCAAGGACTTCTTCTGTAAATGATTAACAGTGCCATAACATCAATGACTGGTATGGCAGTCAGCCTCAAACCCATCAAAACCAACATATCATTTTTATAACAAGTATTTTACAACACCGTTTTTTTCAATCTTAAAGTAACAGTCACTAGTAACTAGATGTAGTTTTATTAACAGTCAGTATAGTGCTCTATTGTAATGTAAATGAGAGATAAGCCATTTATAATCAGACAATATGCAGATCAGTTGGTCAAAGCTCAAATGCAACTAAACTAGAAGACAAAGAGAAGAATTTTTTTTATTTAAAAAAAGACAAAACAGAAAAAAGGGTAGAAAAGATATAGAATTTAAACAAATAACATTAAGAAATCATCACTAGTTGATATAGTATATATTATCTTAGAAGTAGTTGTTCAAAATCAAAGCATAAAAATGAACAGACAATCAAACAACGACAGCACAAATGATTCTGTTTGATGGACTATCAAAAACTTGGGAGTATGGTTATCTATCTTGCACACGTAAACATACATACAGTTATATGTGTCTACCTAAAAGCTGTTCTTTCCTTTCCGGCACTTTCTTTTCTTTTCATTACTACAATATCTATTATACATTTTAGAACTTATTACTCTTTCAGTTTTTAAACCTGCTGGTGGAATCTGCAAAAGTCACAGATACAGTTGCAGGAGGCTATGCTAGACATACTGTATCAGAAATTCAAATACAACAAGTGGTGTGGTCATTTATAAGATTTTCCTAAGTGAAAAAATTTTAGTAACTTCTAACAAAAAAAAAAAAAATGGAGAGGGAGAGGGGAAGGAAAAGGGATGAAAAAAAAGAATTGAAAGGGAAAAATAATGAAAATAGAGTGAATGGGAGGGAACCAAGAGTTAGGGAGGGAAGGAGAGAAGAATAAAAAAGAGTAATTAAAATGTGTATGGACAGCACCAGTGCCCCAGAGTAAATGTAATCAATATGCACTGCAAACATAGGCCTGATAAAAAGCAAGAAAAACAAAATCTTTCAAATTCCCATTGTATTTAGTGAAATCATTCAAAAGCAGCTTTGCAATTTTAAAAACTAAAGTTCAAGTTTCAAATATTCCAAAACAAGTTTTCACGTACATTAGTGGGACAATAAGAAAGCCAGGCAAAATGTAGAGTTATTTGGGTTATGAAGAATTATTCAAAATACTGCGGGACATCTATTGTCCCTGACTTCTATCACTAAATCTAAATGGTAATAGCATTCCACCCCAACATCATGACAACTGAAAATGAGTTTTCTGAAAGTCTCTAGGTGCTTTACTGCTTCTGGGAAGAGTTATTAGTTAGATGTTTATTCACACCCTTTACAATGTTAAAACATGGATTCTACATTGCCTTTTCCCTCCAAGATACTGGGGAGACATGGACCTACCATGAAATCCTTTCTTATCATTAATCTTATAATTAATAAAGTAAATCAGCAATTAATTCCATTAAAGCTGATCTACCTTCAGCTGAGTCCCATCTGCAGTAGCTTTCAAATATTCCCATAAATTACCTGACAATTGTTCCTTAAAAGGTTGTTCTTAACTCCTCTCTCTTTGAATGTGAGCTGGAGTAAGCAAGCTGCTTCTAATAAATGGGATGTGACAGAAGGGACACTGCGTGGCTTTTAAGAGTAGACACTGTGTGGCTTTTCAGAGTAGCGAGAAGACACTGCGCATCCCCATTGGCTCTTTCTTCCTCAAAGATCTCTAGCTTTTTTTTTTTTAATGGGTACCTGGGATCGAACTCACAACCACACATTTGCAAGGCAGGAGCTTATGCTGCTGAGCTAAATCTCCAGCCCCCAAAGATCTCTAGCTTTATGGGAAGCCATGAGACAGGTCACCAGGACACTAGAGCAATGCCACAGGAAAGCCTCCACAACCATCAGCTTCCTGTCCACTCTCTCTGAGTGACCCAGCCTGGAAGACATCCTCCCTCAGTCAAGGCTTC